TCCTGCAGCACACAAATGTTGCTTGAGATCTTCAAGTTGTTCCTTGGAATACAGTACCACACAGGGGACTTTGTTCGGCTTAATAATTATCTTCTTTACATAATCATGGGTATTAATCATGCTAATTACATGTAAAACGTCATCAGCAACATTGTGCCTATGAATAGGTTTGCGTTCCTTTATCTTGTCATGATATTTTTTACTCCTTACCTGTTGGAAGTCTCTTGGGGCTAAACATGATTCTTCCATAAGCAGATTTTGATAAACCTCTCGTGGAGGTTGGATCTTAACCATCTTGCCTATATTTTCTAAAACTTCAGGCCTGGTCCGAACATATGGAATGTTGTTTTGTGAATTTCCATGCATCGTCTCTCCTGTTTGCTTGCCACAGTATTCTACAATAGCTACAGACTCCAGCTCTTTAATAACAGTTACTCTTTTCTTAAAGCTTTCCTGCCCTTTGAGGACTGTGTAATAACGGTGCATTGTGATGAGAGTATCTGGGGAGGGCTGAGGTTCTAAGGGAACCCACTGCGTTTTCCCTTTTGATAATACTCTTTTACAAAATATCTCATTTCTCAAATATAATATCCTCAAACGATTATTATTATCCCATATGAATAAGGAGTTCACGGTAGTACCTCTGGCACTGTTCCACACTCCACAGTCGTCTGGAAAGGTCGACCGTGTTTTGGCGCCCTTAGTAAGATTATGTGAATTGTCAACCACATAAAATGTATCTTCTTTAGGCCCATTTGGGACACTTTTAAACACCTTGTTCTCTCGCAAATGCCAATAGACTTCTTCTACAGCTAAAAATTTTCCATTGCGAAGCTTGCCAGAGCTTTCGCTATCGTTATCAGTCGACAATTGAGGTTTTTTTAACAAAGTGTGTGTCTCCTTAAAGTCATACTGTATTTTGGACACAAAAGTAGTAAAATCCTTTCCGACTGGAGTTGATGTATACATAGGGGGTACAGATAATGGTGATTGACACAAACTTAGAGGTGTGGATGTAATAGTGCTTAGTAACTGGGTACTGTTTATGGATATGTGACCCAGTGGAGGCAAGGACATTAATGGAACAAAATGGTTAGGTGTCCATGATTTATCCCCTTCCTTGAGATTCCTTGATCCACCAGGTGTCTTGTTACTAACGCTTCGATTAATAAATCCAAGTGTCCGATTTGCCTTATTACGAACATTTATGCATTGATTCTTTTGTTTTAAATTCTTACTAATCATAACTCCCAGATCCCTTTCGCAATCCGACTTCGCAATCTCAACACCATCTAGCTCGTATCTTGTAACTCTATCATCATTACCTAACCTCAGAATGAAGGTTACTAAGTTATGATTAGTAAGAATAAGTTATGCTAAGGCATAACTTATTGGCCAACCCGCGCCACACATCAGCTAACACCATACACCACGAACACCATACACCAATATCACCATACACCACTAACACCATACACCACTAACACTATACACAATTAACAGCATACACCACGAACACCATACACCACTAACACCATACACCACTAACACTATACACAATTAACACCATACACCACTAACACCATACACCACTAACACCATACACCACTAACACCATACACCACTAACACTATACACAATTAACAGCATACACCACGAACACCATACACCACTAACACCATACACCACTAACACTATACACAATTAACACCATACACCACGAACACCATACACCACTAACACCATACACCACTAACACTATACACAATTAACAGCATACACCACGAACACCATACACCACTAACACCATACACCACTAACACTATACACAATTAACAGCATACACCACGAACACCATACACCACTAACACCATACACCACTAACACCATACACCACTAACACCATACACCACTAACACCATACACCAATAACACCATACACCACTAACACCATTCATCACTAACATCATACATCACTAACACCATACACCAATATCACCATACACCACTAACACCATACACCACTAACACCATACACCACTAACACTATACACAATTAACAGCATACACCACGAACACCATACACAACTAACACTATACACAATTAACAGCATACACCACGAACACCATACACCACTAACACCATACACCACTAACACCATACACCAATAACACCATACACCACTAACACCATTCATCACTAACATCATACATCACTAACACCATACACCAATATCACCATACACCACTAACACCATACACCACTAACACCATACACCACTAACACTATACACAATTAACAGCATACACCACGAACACCATACACAACTAACACTATACACAATTAACAGCATACACCACGAACACCATACACAACTAACACTATACACAATTAACAGCATACACCACGAACACCATACACCACTAACACCATACACCACTAACACCATACACCAATAACACCATACACCACTAACACCATTCATCACTAACATCATACATCACTAACACCATACACCAATATCACCATACACCACTAACACCATGCACCACTAACAAGCTATTGAGCTATATAGCTCAAGCTATTCTCACCCCGTTCAGTATATCGTGTTAATACATATATAGACACACACACTTGTACACATTTTAGTGTAACAAGCAAGGCAAATATTTCTGTCTGATGGGTAGAGGCAACTGCACTTGCAGCTGCACCCGTGTGGCGGTGTAGGAAACCATCAATGTATATGATTTGAGAGAGAGAGAGAGAGAGAGAGAATGATCTGTGGACAGAGCATCAATATGGCGTAAGGTATTGGGCTTTGCCTCAAGATGAAGCATAATAAAGAACCCGAATATCAGGAGAAAAAATTACATTAAAAACTGTCCACATGATACATATATATAATTATGTTTTAAACATTTTAATTGTATTATTTGCATATATATATATATATTAGGAAGTAATGTTTATCTGGGTAAGTTGTCAGCTTTTATGAACTAATAGCTAGTGCGGCTTGTATATGGGGTACATCCGGTCTCTTACCCTCGACTGCGGCGGTAACTTTATGGTCAGGAAGCCAAAAATATTTATAGTTCAAGTTCAAGTATGTTTATTGAGACAAGAAAAAAATACATCTCAAAGGGATAGAGTAACTTAGGCTATTTCTACCCCCTCTACTTCAAGTCCCTCAAGGGGCGCACAAATTCAGTAAGTACAAATAGACAATTAACATTACAAGAATCCCATTTAACATTGCAGGTTAATATAGTAAGTACAGCATACAATTGTTACACTCTTGGGGCAAAATTTTTGTAGCTCCTAAGTATACTGTCTATCATACCATTATCACACATACAAACAATTTGATGTGGTACATTACTTATTTCCTTATTTCTATAGTTATCAATAAGTTGACACTATAATACATAATGTTCTAAGGTGTGGGCGTGCGGCATACTACATAATTTACACTCCTTATCTTTTTCACTGACATCAACTCCGTATTGCCAGATATATTTGTATCCTAATCTTAATCTCATGTAAATTGAATCCTTCCAAGTTGACTTTCCTTTATCATAGGTGAAGGACGAGTTTGTATTTATTACTGAATAATTCTTAAGTGTGTTACTACTATCCACTATTGCCATTCTTTTTATCATTTCTTCATCTTCATTTCCTCTTATTAAAGTAACTATAAAAAGGCATATATCTTCGCTTTCACTTCAGTTATATTTATACCAAAGTATTAACATGCAGCTTATATGTCTTTCTGATGACATAAAAAACTTCGTTTTTTATAATATATAGATTCAATTAACATTGATTTTCAAAAGGTCATAGTTCCCATCGAAAGGGAGAGCGTCGGCCAAGAAGCCTTGTTTAAAATATGAATATTTTTCCTCTCTAATAAGGTATAATCTCTGTGATGCATTAACACAAACTATTTTATATCTGCCTTTCTGATAACATATATAAATATAATCTTTATTTGTGAATATTTGTTAATTAAGCAATATATCAGAGAGCGTGTAGGGTTCGGTGTTCTATGAACGAAAAGGACTGGAGTAGTTTAAATAGCGAACGCATACCAACGAATAACGCTAGTATCTATATAACAAATTTATTGTCATGTGGAATTGATTTAACTTCCAGACACTTTTTTTTAATAAATATTAAATATTTTGTGGCTGTTTATGAAAAATATTATTATAAATACACATTCTACTTGTTAATATTACCAATTAAATTTGCGACAATTTGAGCCATGAAATACGACGACTGGATCACTGTGTACAGGAGGCTGTTATGGCAGCAAACACTCTCCAGGCGACCATATATCTTGGATAAGTCGCTCCACACAATTGTCGCTTGGACCGTCGACTTCCTATGGCGTCACCTCTCACATATTTACGTCTCATTTCGTTATGAAATTAGATTATTTGAGAGAAAAAATAGGTTTGATCATGTTCTACGTGTAGCACCAACATTATAGTAAGTAAATATACCATATTTCTTCATTACTTACGTAATGCTAATACGTTTTGGGTAGTTTTGGCCTGTTTTGGGATGATTGGGGTAATTCTATGGACCCATATTTCATGCTATGTAACTGTTATCATTTCTATAAATTTTACAAGTATTTACCTACTTAAAAGTTTCATAGATTAAGGACCTGCCCGAAACGCTGCGCGTAGTAGTGGCTTTACAAGAATGTAATTACTATGCTATGTATCCTCACAATCCCAATGTACCTTCTTGTATATATAAATAAATAAATAAATAAATAAATATATCTTGGATAAGTCGCTCCACAACATTGTCGCCTGGACCCTCGACTTCCTACAGCGTCACCTGCTACATATTTACTTCTAATTTCGTTATGAAATTATATTATTTCAGAGTAAAAATAGATTTGATCATATCTTGCATTCAGTATCAACATTATTGTGAGTAAATATACCATATTTCTGCATTACTTATGTAGTGCTTGCAGGTTTTGGGAGGCTTTGGGTAGCATTGGGTAATTCTAGGCACACCTCAGAGGTAAACAAACATGGCTCACTGGTTCCACAGGAATCCTCTCAAGGCTACGGCTGAGGTCAAATTTGACCTAAAAATGGTTGCGTCCGACAGTCAGGCAATCAAAATATGTAGGTAAGGATGTCAAGTCGGTGTTTGTTAGGTAACGGGCAGCTGTGTACGGTGTTGGTGAAGTGTTTGTGGTTTGTGTTGACACTTTTTAGTTCAGTGTGACAGCACAATGAGTCACTCCACTTCCTCTTGAAGACATATACCCATATCTTGTATTAATACTTGGATTGGTTACGTTAGTAAATTGATTTAAAGTATGCTTTATAAGATGTGCACACTCATATGTGCACAATAGTCTCCGTGGTGTAGTGGTAAGACACTCGCCTGGCGTTCCGCGAGCGCTATGTCATGGGTTCGTATCCTGGCCGGGGAGGATTTACTGGGCGCAATTCCTTAACTGTAGCCTCTGTTTAACGCAACAGTAAAATGTGTACTTGGATGAAAAAACGATTCTTCGCGGCAGGGGATCGTATTCCAGGGACCATAGGATTAAGGACTTGCCCGAAACGCTACGCGTACTAGTGGCTGTACAAGAATGTAACAACTCTTGTATATATCACAAAAAAAAAAAAAAAAAAAAAAAAAAAAAAATACTGTATGTATAATATATATAATATATATCTATATATACACATATATATAATATATATAATATATATATAATATATATATATATATATATATATATATATATATATATATATATATAATATATATATAATATATATGCAAACAAGCCTGAATGGTCCCCAGGACTATATGCAACTGAAAACTCGCACCCCAGAAGTGACTCGAACCCATACTGCCAGGAGCACAATGCAACTGGTGTGTACAGGACATCTTATCCACTCGACCATCACGACCGGTCAAAAGGAGGTGATAGCCGAAGCTATTTGAACCACACCCCCCCCCTCGCTGGCACTCTGATGGTAATCTTGGGCATAGTATTTTATCAAATCACCTCATTCTTTGGGGCACACGTGAGGAACACAAATACGAACAAGCCCGAATGGTCCCCAGGACTATATGCAACTGAAAAATTTGGGCCACACGTGTGGATGCCACCAGGTGACTGGAGTGTAGGCCACCCTCACCCACTTTATTTATTTATATATACAAAAGTTCTTACATTCTTGATATAAGCCTCGGCTAATATAAACCTAACATGTATGAATACACTCTGGCTTCCTGTCTCCCAACACAATGAATTATTTTTAAATTATTGTTTTTTTTCCCATAACAGTGACCTACGTCAGGCAAGATCAAGATTGCTTCAACTACTTCCTAATGCTAATCATGAAATTGATGTTGTGGAGCCAGCACTAACATTGTACCTGGCCTTGTTGCGTGGTCTTATAGAAGTCCCAGAAGATCAAGGCTCGGATTGGAGCAAATTGAGGCATGCTCTTCGTTTTCGCTGGACACACTCTGTGCTAGGAAATCCACCTGAGTAAGTTGTAATAGTTTACAAAAGTTACAATGTGTAACTTTTAACGGCCGTGTCACCAGTTACCACGCGATCGGTCAACCCATACGTGTATCAACAAAGTCGCTAGTCAAGGCAAAGGTCGTAAGACGAGTTGCATTTTCTGACGAAATTTACGTCGTAACTCGAAAAGTTCATAGGTACGGGCAGTCGAGGTGCCACTGTATTGTATAATAAACATTTAAGGATCTTAGTTTCTTTTTTATGTAAGAAAATAAAATGGAATTACAATAATATATATACAGTACACTGTATTGGAAAATTAATGTTGTTTCTGTGGGGAGCCCCTACGACTCCCTGGAGTTGCCAGGGAGCCTCCTGGGCTCACCCAGAAAATGGCTTTTCATTATATTCAGCACTGTTTTTTTTTTTTAATTTTATGCAGGTCTCACTTTGACACAATATTTGAACTGGTGTCAATACTTCAGAATGCTGCCTTCTGGTACTTTAAACATGCCTCAAAAATATCTGCACAGGAAGAGTGAGTATTTTGTATATACTATAGTTTTATTTTGTATTATTTCATGTACAGTAAATTAAATTAGTGTGCCATCATGTACAAACAATGTAATATGGATAAGGCATTAATTTAATACAATTTTCAGTCAGGATAAAAAGTTGTGGTAAGGTGGTGTTACAGGATAGAAACTTTGTGATGTTTGTGAATTAGTGTTCTGTATTAGTACAGGTAAATTTAAAGATATTTAATCGAGATAATGAAAATGGTACACTGATAATTTACTTAAATAGTTATGTAGTGAATTTTGAAAATGAAGTCAAGTCTGAGAATTTTTTTTTATTTGGCAGAAAAAGTGTAGCCTCAAAGTAATTGTATGGAAGAGTTTCCCAAGCTTCCCACCAGGTTAGCCGCAAGCTTAATATATCCCACCAGACCTTTGTTAGTCATAAACACCTTAGGGCAGCTCTTCCCTGAGCTCTCATCTAGTGATGCCCCCTGCCCTGACAGGGCTGACTTGCCTGGTGGATTCGGAAGTTTGTCTCATAGAGGCCAGCCTACTGTGTAGGGGGTGCCTCAGCCAGAGTAGTGCAAGGGTCATTGACTTCTCTGTGAGGCTCTGAGGCTGGCAGCATTCAGCGGTTATTGATTAAGGGGTGTACTAAGGTTTGCATGCTTGTACATAGGCCATGCTGCTGACATCCTTTGTAGCTGTGTTTATCATTAAAGCTGCATTCGGTGTCAGTTCTTCTAGCAAGAACATTTAGGGGCCTGACGGCTGAGTGGACAGCGCTTGGGATTCTTAGTCCTAAGGTTCTGGGTTTGATCCCCGTCGGAGGCGGAAACAAATGGGCAGAGTTTCTTTCACCCTGATGTGCCTGTTCACCTAGCAGTAAATAGGTACCTGGGAGTTAGACAGCTGTTACAGGCTGCTTCCTGAGGATGTGTAACAAAAAGGAGGCCTGGTCGAGGACCAGACCACGGGGACGCTAAGCCCCAAAATCATCTCAAGATAACCTCAACAAGAAGCAGCATCCCTAGTGCCTGAGTATTTTTATTGGTCCTTACCTTCAGGCCCTGGCAAGCCCTGCAGGTCTTTGGTATGGCTTATTATGGATTGTCCTGCTGGGCCCACACTCGCGACTTACGTGTTTGAGGGATGTCCATCGGTTTTCCTACAAAGTGATGGTCAATTGGACTCTGCCACCTGTTGGGTGGGTACTCTTTACAATTGGTAATCTGAATCATATGGGGACCACCCCCATTTGTGTTAACTGAATATTTGAGTTAGCTAAATTTCTTACCAGGAATGTTAAAGAATGAACAAATTTGCAATTTTTGTGCCATAGTCCAATTACTCCCAACAATTACCCTTGCATTTTCATTGTTTATCTGCTTGCTTGTGCCACTTATCCCATGAATGATGAACACAAATTCATTCGGGTTACCGGAATTCAGATTACCGACCTCTTATGAAGTCTGCGATATTTAAGTTTCCTAAGCATCTACTTTTAGCTAAAGCCTTATCTTTTGGTTTTCATTATTATTATTTTTGAAGTGACGAAGCTACGAAGGCAGCAAGCAGCCGCTTGAGGTTTGTTTGCCCATTGTGGTTTTCGTGGCTCAGTGCTCGAGTGGTTGCCTTGGAACCAGTCAACTTTGGTTTTGAGGATTTGGATTTTGAGCAGTTTGTGTGTCTGCAGGTGTTGTGCTCACTGTTTCTGCTGCTGCTGCTGTCCATTTGGCTTGGTTTGACACCTCTTGTGCCCCCTTCTTCACTCACTTGCTCTAGGCTTTGGTACAGCTTAGTTTCATAGTCCAGGCTGCAATAAACTATGGGTGTAGCTCAGTCTTTTCCAGGGATCACCCCTTCCACTTCTATGCTGTATGTTGAAGCCAATTATGCTTCAACATGGTGTATTTGGTTTGGATGCCTTCCTATCTGTTCAAGAATCAGGAGTGGAACGTGACTCTGTCCCGGGGTCTTCATTTCAGGCTTCTGGGACTGAGGAGCCTGGAGAGGGTTCAGCATCTCTGTTCTGCATGGCTTCTTACATACATCTTCTGGTGAAGAGTACTTGGGTTTTCTATTGACACTTTGAGTGGTTGTGCAGAAACCTAAAGTTTGCCTTGTGGTTTACTTGCTGAGCAGAGTTTAGCTTCTGGCACTGTATCAGTTCCTCAGGGGTTGCCCTTTTTCTTACCATTAGGACATCTGGATCAAACTGTTTTTTGACGGCTTATCTCTTGCCATTTTCCCTGTCAGGCTCCTCAGGGTTCGGTTCTGTGGCACCTTCTTCCTGCTGTTCTGGACCTGTTTATGGATGCCCTGGACCTGGACTAGGGTTTTAAGATTGCTCACCAGGTAGCCCAGAGCTATTGATTAAATCCTATTCGTTGGGCATACAGTATGCTTTGTGAGTTGGCTATAGTTTATGCTCTGTAGCTCACTCTTCCCTGTTCTCCAGGGTCCATGAATTAGCTCCACTCTGACTGCTTGCCGGTGTGGCGAACTGGTGTATACAGTATATTGATAGCCACACTTTAGAAGTTAAAGAGTATGCTGAAACATAATAATGTCACACCCAAATAACCATTCTTTACAGTAATGAGTAGCTCCCGGGCTATAGTTACTTCTCTGCTTAAAAGACCTGTATTCTTATTACTGTATTGAAGTTATTAAACATGGATCATTAACACAGATCTTGTTTGAATTCCATACCACATTTAAGATTTTCTTAAGCTGTTGTTATTATATTATTATTTCTACTCTTTCAAATACAATTTCATATACTTTTTATAAAGTGTTTCCATGGATGAAGCTAAGCTGGCACATCGTAGTTTACGTCGCGGAGCTGGTCTGCTGAAATATGCTCAAGAAGAATGGGTGAGCAAACTGTTAGAAGCCCCGATTGCTGGAAGTGACAGTGATCCTAGAGTTCATACAGCTTATATCAATCAGGCTACAGCTGAGGCTCAAGAAGGTGGGTTAATCTTACTGAAAGATACAAAAGGGTCTGAAGCTTGGTGCTAGTGGGGGAGTAGCACTTGAATGAAAATAACAAAGTATAATTTTCTTTGGGTGTATTTTGGGTATTTAAGAGATCTTAAGTAGTCTAAAAATTCTCATGATAAATAAGTTATACATTAAATACAAATTATTGTATGCAGTTTGACATACTTTGATGTCGCTCAGATGTGAGCAGCCAATCACTTGGACTGTACGGTAAAGCAATGGTCTCACTTCATGCAGGTCGGCGTTCAATCCCTGACTGTGCAAGTGGTTGGGCACCATTCCTTGTTCCCCCCGTCCCATCCCAATTCCTTATCCTGATCCCTTCCAAGTTCTATATAGTCATAATGGGTTGGCACTTTCTCCTGATAATTGTGCTGGGCATTACACAATAAATATTCATCTTGAATAATCCCCAAGCATCAGCTTTTCAAAATAATCTCTCCTGTATGCTTTGTGTTGAATGGTCACAAAATAATTGTCCCTACAGATCAGTAATTTGAATACTGTTTATATATTTTCAGTGACAATTGCTCGAGCAATAGAGTTGAAGCACAATGCTGGACTTATATCTGCTCTTGCTAATGAAACCTCCAAGATGTTCACAACAGCTGCAGATGCTATTGCTTCTTTGGAGGAAAAAAAGTTTGGCCATTGGACAAAATATCTTCGTTTGAAAGCTGCTTTCTATGCCTCTTACGTATGAATTACATTTTTGTCATTTATGTTAGATGAATCTATAAAATGTGGAATTAATGATTACAAGGTAAATTACTTATTACCAATATTTTTAGTTTTAAGTGCACAATTTAAAATTTCATGTCACAACTTACTTAAGTAAAAGAAGTATTTTTAATGTTGGTATTTACTCCTCCTTAGGCATATAATTATGCAGGAGAGAACATGTTGAACCAGGATAAGTGTGGGGAAGCCATTAGATCTCTGCAGGAAGCTAAGAAGAGTAAGACCCCCACATTGTGTTTTGTTTGCTCTTGTACTAACACTACAGCATGTTGCAACTGGAATTAACTTAAATTCATTTATATTTACTTGATTCAAGTACTATACAATATTTTTCCTGGTATTAGTTTTCATTTATGTGTTAAAATAATTTTATTTACTGCACTCCTTTTGTGTTTTGGTGTCAACAAGACATTAATATATCTAATACAGTCAGCCCTTACTGTGTGTTTCAAGTACCCTTTTCTAGGAGGGCCCTTTATGGAAGCTCCTTGTTGCTAGCTACCTAGATAGCTACACCCATTTCTATCCACGTCAGGTCCTTACAAATCATTGTAACCCTACCAGGGACCAGAAGCCAAAACTTGACTCCATCTATATAGATGCAGGGAGTATGAGGATGCTAGATCACTCACACAAAGAAAAGGCCACCAGAAAGGTGAGCGAGACAGTGCAGATGACAGCAAGATGAACAAAAAACAGAAAATGAGACAACTAGGATGTCTGGGGCTAGGGGAGGCTTTCCCAGGGAGGGTCATTGGGTATTCTTCCATCCTGATAAGTTTTTAGTTCCCTCTATGGGAGGGGTACTCTCTTAAGATAATGGGTTTGCTGTATTTGTCTTTGATGCTTGAGATGGATTCCTTGGAAGCTCCCATCGAGTGCACTTCTGAGTTCATTTAGAATCCTAGAAGGCTTTTTATGTGCTGAGGTTTCCGAACTCCCAGGGCTCCTCACTACCCCTGCGCTCAACCTCTTCCTAGATGACTTGGCCTTCAGCTGGGGGTGTATTCACAGCATGATGTGTGAATTTGCTGCACACTTCGGTTTCTTCCTTTGCAGCGCTCAATTCTGCTCGAATCTTTTGGGCATGTCGAAAGATCTGGCAAAATGTCTTTCTAGTTTCTGACCCATCACCATGGAGTGGACTATTAACAATGAATCCTACTGTTAGTTTCACGAGACATTTGGTTACTTTGAGGTGAACCTCTTTACGTTAGCATAGAACCTGTGGCTTCTGTTTTAAATGACTCTATTCTGTAATTGGGAGACCCCTGTGGTGGATGCCTTTTAGCTGGACTGGGGTTGGTGGGAGTTTCTTTATACATTCCTTCCGATTTGGTTGATGCTCCAGGTTCTTTCCAGTGTGGAGATATTTTCTAGCAGAATTCTTATGTTAGCTTTGTTTTGCCTGGTCCTTTGGGCCCATTATCCGAGCCCATATAATTTTCTGTGATTCAGCCTCTTTCATCAGATTGGTCCCAATATGTTCCTAGATGGTTCAAGGTTCTCTGTCAATCTATATGTCTTGAGTTTTTAACTCTAGTTTACTAATCATTTTGTGGTCCACAAGTGGCTGTCTTCGCAGTAGCAGTATGAGGGTGTTTGGCACACCTTCCATCTCTTTCTGTCTTTTTTCCTTGCTTATCCTGGGATTCTTTTCAGGTGGTCCTTTTATTCCTGGCTTCTCATGCTAAATACAGGTGTATTTGATTGATTCAATACCTTGTATCATACAACCTTATTGGAGCCACTGTCATTGGCATTTGGTGTAATTAATCAACTAATTCACAACACTCAAAAACTACTAAACTGTCAAATAACTCCCAAAACAATACAAAACAACAAAAGAAAACACGAAACTAGCTAGAACTTTAGAGTACTGAATGCTGCCACCAGGCCACCCGACCCTTAGTCCAGCGTCAGCCATCAGATCAGTTCAGGAGCAGATAAACACCGCAACAAACTGACAAACATGGAAGGGAGGGAGGGAGACAGGGAGCCACTGGGGCTCTACAGGCATTTAATTACTTTCAGTTCTGGGTTTCTGGGAGTATGATGGCTTGTTTGTGGCTCCCTATAGCTAAATAACCACCAAACAACTCGCACATATTTACTTATTATACAGTAACTAATACAGCACTCTTGCTGCTGAAAAATAACAACAGGAAACCCTAAAAAATTAAATTATGCAGTAAATAGAAATGCAGTCATAAGAAATGGAATAGACTGGGTTGGTGTGTTGAGACAGCAGGATGCGAGTTGATATGATGACATGCTAGATATAACATTACAATGTATATAACATTACCTTCCCTGATATGTGGGCAAGACTACTGGGTAGGCGATGAGTCACAATAACGTGGCTAAAGTATGATGACCAGACCACACACTAGAATGTGAAGGGACGACGACGTTTCGGTCCGTCCTGGACCGAAACAATCGACTTGAGAATGGTCCAGGACGGACCGAAACGTCGTCGTCCCTTCACATTCTAGTGTGTGGTCTGGTCATCACTACTGGGCATTTGCAAAGTGCCTTGTCATGATTGTGCAATGACTGAAGATAGCTTGGTGTCTTAGCGGTGTCCTAGGAGGACCCTGGCTGTTGGCTAGGAACTGATGTCACTTGGAAATGAGGGCATTTAAATTTTCTTGTTTGACCAGTATGGTATGCATTTCAGTTTATTATTCAGTACTGCAATTTTACATAACATACCATGTTCCAGGATGGTATCTCTTGCATTATATAAGAGTTGGCTCTATTCAATAGTCTAATTTAATTCTGGTGATTAACAGAAATTAACCTTAACAAATTTGTTTATGCAATATGTTGAAATCTTGTAACACTGTTGCAGTGTCTAAATTATCTGTGGAGTTTACTCATAAAATATTTGTTACATTTAAGAATATGAAGAGACTGGTGAACTTTGCAAGGAGTATGCTCAGACCAAAGGACCTGGAGCACATGTGAAACCAGAAAAGCATGTATTCTATCGTCGGTTGGCCCCAATTGTTGCCCGAACTCTGGAGAAATGTGAGAGGGAAAATGGGTTGATGTGAGTAATATTTGTAATATTCCATGTTAGAATACATTTTGTTCTTATGCAATTCTTTTAGAGAAGTTTTATTAAAAGACTTGAGTGAAAAATAATTTGAGAAATTGAGAGAACATGCAGAATATTTTGTCATGGGATGTACTGAATAATGTGAGATGTGCAAGAGAGCTGGTGAGGAAATTTATTTAAATATTTGCTAATGGTAGCACATAAGTGTTGTTGGAGATATTGGTAGTGCTGGTGTGTTAAACAATAAACATAGTATTAAACTGATGTACAAACTCCAGCTAACATTTGCCGACACATATTTGCAAGAGAGCAAACAAATCTGTCTCAAATGTGATTAAATTGCAGCTTGAATCAAAAGCTTAGGCTCAAGACAAAGTTTTAAGATACTTCTATGAAGATGCTTAGCTAAAAGAAAAGTCAGACCATACCAATGGGCTATCAAACAACTGCTGAGAAGATAGCCAATTGAAATCAGCCAGTGACAATTAGCACTACTGAAAGTTACCTCAAAATTAAGCTGTAGTGTCGAATCCTAGCTAGAGGCATGCAAACTTAGTGGTCACATATTGTAAAGCAAACACCTAACAAGGGGGCACCCTGCTCTCAAATGAATTGGCCTATACAGAGTTGAGTAGACATACAACAAATGAGGGTAAGCAGCGTCTCTGCACATGTAATTTGCTGTTAAATTTTCGTTTCTGCTCTTTGGTGTCATATCTTTTTCGAGGTAGATTGAGCTTTATTTCCCCTGCCTTCCATAATCAATTGAGGTGGCATGATATGGATTAACAGAGCCTTATGAGATTGTGGTAACCTGGCCATGCCTGTGTAGACCTAATTCAGAAAAATTTCAAATGGAATTGAATGCTTTTGAAAGATGTGATGACATTACAACACTTACCAGAGTTGTTGCCAGGAGAATGATTTCAAATTGTGTGCCTTAGAAACATGAGAGGATGTTTAAATATAAAATAAGGATACAGGATTCACTTGCCAAATCATCTTAGTATATACAGTAATTAACTATATAGTTCTCTGACAGTGTGGAAGGATCCTTTCACATAGATTCTTTGGAAGTTGAGAATACAAATAATTATATAAAAGGCTGCATTAAATTTGATTCTTTTTTCTTATATATAGAAAGAAGTAACTGTATATATAATATTTACAATGCAGTAAATAGATGAATTGCATTTTTTCAGTTACCATCAAAAGGTTCCCTATGATCCTCCAGAGTTGGAATTAAAAGCAACTTACGGTTTAGTGTCACCAGATGATTATACTCTTCCTCCATCTGCACCATTGTGGACACCAGTTACCTACAGTGCATTTGACCTAACAAAGAACCTTGCTGATGATCCCAGTGCTAATCCAGTGAGTGCCATTATTGTTGTCATGTATCTATATCTTCAGCATGGATACCCTATGTTTTTATAATGTTTATTGTTTTCTTTTGTCATTTTTGTTTTTGCCTTTAACATTATTTCATTCAATATCTAGATAAGACTCCATTGACCAGATCTCTCTCTTCTTTCCCCTCTTTGTTAGGATAAGTTCTCTTGTGTCTTCTTTTCTGTCTCAACATGATTTTTCTTCATTTTAGAGACCATATGCTGTGTTATTGTGGCCTTCAGTGCTATATTACTTTTCAGAAACTTCTCAACTTAGGATTTATTTTCTTTATTATTTAATTGCTCTCTTCTCTTTGGAACCTCATATCTAATTATGTCTTCCAATAGGGTAAATGGGTCAGGGCATTTTCTCCTAGACTTTGGCATTGATCTTTCTTCAGTCATTTCCTTCATCCTGGCTTATCCTGTTTGCAGAGTTTAGAGAAATAGGGATTCATCTGTATTTGTAAGAATGTTTCATTTGCAGAAACTTAGTTCTGTATAATGAAACAATTATACATAAATTTGTAATTTTCTAACAAAATTCTGGTCCAATAATCACACCCGCAAGAGCAAGTATACTTACAAGAACACAACGGTGTATTTGTTGCGTGTGTAATTGTGGGCCAAAGAATTTGCCACCCTCCAAGCCTTCTAACTGCAGTATTAAACTAAATGTTTATATATATTGTGTTGAAAAATTTTCAAACTCTACTGTAATAAATTATTTTACAAATAATGTAATCAAACAGTAATAACTACAAAATCTGCACACAATTCTGTCAAATAAAGATATTAATGTGCTCAGCCATGGCTGTTTCTAACCCGTTTAATGACTTTCAGTAAGTCCAGCACATGACATGAATTTAGAATACAGTAGTCATATTAAGTCTTCAATAGAAGATTCGCCCTCAAATATATGAAATTACTTTAAACAAATTAGCTTGTTGTATTCTTCTTTCCCATTTTTTGTTTGCTGAGCAGCCAGCTGTTTGTATTTGCAATTCTTGCATCTTATTACAAGCAATGGTAAAGGGTTAATTTCCATAAAACTTTGTAGAATTCTTTGCTTTGTAAAGTTTTACGTAAAATTTTTTGTCTTGTTTACATGTATAAAGGGCTTGTGGGGGATTCTAAATGAGTCAGCTCCCTCAGGGAAAGGGATTTGCTGCATGAAACTAGGTATTAAGACAGGTAAGTATTGTAGTATAACCTTATGTTTCTGTATACCAACAGAAAGCAGCTCAGAAAGCTGAAGGTGATTTACCAACAGTGAAGGAAGCAGATGTACATCAGACATCAAAGGACCACAAAAATAACAGTGGCTGCTCCGTTATGTAACTAATGAACATCACGAGTCAAACATCTAGGTAAGTGCCAGAATTAGAGCATTATAAATGGACAATTTGAGAAGCATGCATAGTGTTAGTAAGGTAGAATAAAGAAGGAAAGTGTCATGGAAAGATGTGGAGTACAAAAGTTTATATATTGCCGTATTGAAAAGATATACAGTATTGAGATGGTTTGTGCATGTTTGTTGAATAGAAGGGGTTAAACTGGTGAAGAGAGTGTATTTGAAGGAATTTTATGGTAGGAGGAAAGGATAGCTGTGAAGATGGGCAAGTTGGTTGAGTTTTTGTGTTATGAAGCAGGGGCTGAGTGTAAACAATGCAGGATATAGCAATATCCTGCATTGTTTATATTGTCATCCTGTATTGTTTACATTGTTTATATATCCTCCTCCCCCCAACAGGAGGAGGAGGGGAAGCCCTGGACCCACCATGCCAGCTATTCAACCCCAGTTCGTTGGCTATTGTAGTCCGGGGCAGTCGTCATCTCTGGCCTCAGTGTCTTAAGCAGTGTTTCTCTTCATGGCATCCAGTGCTGTTTCGTGGTGTGGTAGACAGTTGGATTGGTTAGGTTTTGTGGTGGGGCATTAGGCTTACCGCTTTCATCGCCTTCCTTTTGGCTTGAATCTGGAACCTCGCGTATTCACGTGTCTTACCTGGGTCGTGGTGACCCCTCTGAATCTGCTAGGGATTCGAGTTCTGGCTAATCTCAACGACTGATTGGTGTGGGCTTCCAGCCAGTCTGCTTGTATGCTCGCCAGGGGTGTGATTCTTTCGCAGCTCCCCAGGTTCAGGTTCCTTGTGAACTGGAGGAAGTCCCATCTGGTTCTGTCCAAGGTTCGGACCTGGCTGGGTCTTGTTTGGACTCTAGGACCGCCTCCATGTCTCTCCCTCCGAAGGCATTGCTGCAGTCTCTGTTTCAGCTGTTTCTGCTGTTTCTTGGGGGAGGGGGCGGTCCCGGGTCACTTGGGGGTTGCTCGAGCAGTTGTGCAGGAGTCTGAACTTCGCTGTGCTGGTTTACCCGCTGAGTCTGGTTTGGCTTCGGCATCTGTTCTGGTTTCTTTAGGGACACCCCTTCTGCCTCACTCACGATTGTTGGGTCCAGCCTCCGAGGGCCTTGTGTCAGTTGCTGCATCGCTGGCTTCCTCTTCAGGTTTTTCGGGGTTCAGTGCCTTGACGCCTGCCCAAGCCCTCGCTCGATGTGTTAACGGATGAGTCTTCTCTTGGCTGGGGTCCTGTGACCAGTGCTCACCAGGCAGGCCAGGGGTGGTGGAGTCTGTTCTTCCATCAGGTTTACAGCATGGTGCGGGAGTTCGCAGCGGTCTGGCTGTCGCTTCGGGGGATTCGGGTCACTCAGGGTTCGACCATCCGGCTCCATTTGGACTGTTCTCCGGTGGTTCATTGCCTGAACCGCGGGGGTACTTTTCAGTCCTTGCCTCTCTGAGGCTGGTCACTTGGCTCATCTGCTGATTTCTCAGGGTTTGGCTCTCCATGCAGTTTATATCTGGGAAGTGTCCAGAGTCCTGCCGGACGGCCTGTCTTGGTGCATTCCTCCTGTCCACAAAATGGACGGTTGATGCCAACTTCTTCAGTTGGCTCTGCTGGATGTACAGGCTCCCGGAGGTGGAACTCTACACGTCGGCGTGGTCTCCGCATTTCCCGATTTATGTGGCGCCCTTTCCCGACCGTGAAGCTTTCACAGTGGACGCTTTTCTACAAGACTGGTCGAGGTGGGGTTACCTGTACAGTGATACTGTACCTCAATTTACGAATTTAATCTGTTCCCAGAGACGGGTCATAACTCGAAGCAAATTTTCCCATAAGAAATAATGTAAATTTAATTAATCCGTTTTGTACTCCCCATTAATATTAACTTCAAAATACATTTCATACATAATACACACACACACATTTTGTACTATAGTATGCACAAGTTATAGCTTACCTTTATTGATGACTCTTGTTGGTGTATGGAAGACAGTGAGGAGAGGGGAGAGGAGAGAGGAGAGGTGTTACTGTTTGGAAGGGGAGTCTCCTTCCATTATAACATCAGGCAGTGATGACTTTTCTGGGAACTCTCTCTTCTATATTTTGCAGGCATACCACTAAGACCTGGTTGTGGCTCACTGCTTGCTTGTCTTACAAAGAATCTATCTAAAAACACTTGTTTATCCCTACATTTTAACACTTGTCTGTAATGAGACATCACATTGTCATTCAAAAGGTCAATGCAACGGCTTGCTTCAGCTTTATCTGGATGAGTTTTTTCAACAAAACTTAGCAGTTCTTTCCATACTTCACACATTTTCTTAATAAGGAAGGGACATCCTCTACTGTCTCTGCTCACAACTATTTTCTTAGGTAGAACCTTACCACTGACTTTCTTGGGACCCATGGCATGATATTGGTGCATACTGTGTGATGGTCTGAGGAATCACTATAGTTCAATGAACAACATATGACAAAACGATTTTCTGCCAGGTCAAAGGGTCACGTGGCTAGTTTACATAGTTTGTCAGACCAAAGATGCTTAAAAAATCATAAAATGCTCATGCCAATTAGTGTTGGTTCTACATCCAACAAGGATGTAGTGTTTTCATTAGTTTTGATACAGAAGCTCATCTAGATTATAGACCCTCAGTCCCTCCTTTCATATTTCTTCTGTTGTATTTATTAATTTGTACATGCTTGCTGCAGGGCACTCAGGGCACAGGGAAACACATGGCAGGTTCCATGTATTCTTGCTGCGAGTGATGACTGCCTCCCTTTTGGGAGCCAGGTCAGCAATGCAGAATGTTGTGGCATATTATGTGATTCATCTATATTTTGAACACTTGACATTTCAAATATCAGGAAAATACATTGTCATACCCTTAAGGATAGAAAATAGAAAGCTCCCATGGAAAGTATAGCATCAGAGGACTAGAATGAATGGTATGGAGCCAAGCTAGTACTGTACCTCTTTACTTGGCAAATATCATACACCCTTATCTTCATTCTACAGTACTGTACACTATAGAAGAAAAAGCACTGGTGGATCCTAGACATTTGGAATTGCAGTGAAACAAACTATACTGCTCTGAAGGAAATGATTTGCATTAAATTATATTAATATAGTAATGAACTTCAGTTTTTCAAAAAAGTTCCTCTGTTTCAGATTTGAACTGAAGTGGGATACAAGGAAAGGATGGTGTTCTTCAAACGTATGATTTAGTCACAATTTCCAATAAACAGAATTATTTTATGCAAATTTGGATATTTCATGCCTCTGTTAAATACAAAGTATTAATTTAAGTTTGCTTTTGTCTGATTTTTGATGATTTTGATACAGTATATTAAAATTGTATTTTTATATCACAGAAGGTTATTTCCTGTAGTTTTCTTCTTACATTCTTTGCAGGGTAATTGATTAAAAAATTATGATTTATAAATTTCTTCAAATAATACCTCTAGACTTAAGTTTGAAAGATGCAAAAATTATGGCTTTAAATATTTATTAAAAGAAATTTTTTGTCATGATAGGTTGAGTGAAGGGTTTGTGAGAGTGGGGCTAGTGAGAGAAGAGAGAGAGAGAGAATGGGTGTGTGATAGATAGGGAGAGAGAGAGTGGAGGAAAGGGGAGACCTATACAAAAATGAAAGAATGAAGGATAATAGAGAAAAAGATTTTGTATCAGATGTGAAAAAACATCTTCTCTTAAATAATTATGTTAAATAATTATTATTACTGCTTCTATGAATATACAAGCAAATTTTAGAAGTATGAAATGAATAAAAAATTTACAAATGTAGAGAATGGTGCAATTTGGCATATAACATTAATTTGTGTATAACTGGCATGCCCAAACATTGTTCCATATATGTACTAATGTCCAAGAAGGAGGTAGATACTGGGATAAAAAGTTTAATAAGAACATATCCGTATTCCACATTAACAGCACTTAGGTTATCAAGGAAAAATTCTAGGTTGGTGTAAATTACAGGAATCTTAAAAGACATTTGAAAATCATGTTCACAGTTCACAGACAGTAAAGTCTGTTTACTCAGTAAAGTTTTCAGCTTTCTTCTTGCCAAGGAATTGACAACAAATGTCGAGAGACTTCTATACTTTCAGCTCCTTATGTTACAAGATTTTGTAAAATTTTCAATCTCTTATCACTTCTCTTGTTTATGTGACAACTTTGCATCACTAATTTAGAGTTCTTGCTGATAGTGAAACCATCTTCCCTTCTTTATTCAAAGCTTTATTTTTTTTTAACTAAGCTGAACTTTGTGTAATGGTGGAAAATAAATTTTCTTACAATCTACCAAATGGATTATGTGCAAAAGTTCCTCTGACATGGTGTGAAAGATTAATATAGTTCATAGCCTATTTGTGTAATTACCTAAGTAGTTACAGGATGAAAGCAATGCTCTTGGTGTCTCGTCTTCCCAGCATTCTTTGTCATGTAACGCTTTGAAGTTGCTGATGGTTTTAGCCTCTACCACCTTCTCACCTAACTTGTTCCAACCGTCTACCGCTCTGTTTGCGAAAGTAAATTTTCTTATATTCCTTCGGCAGCTTTGTTTACTTAGTTTAAATCTATGACCTTTTGTTCTTGAAGATCCAGGTCTCAGGAATTCTTCCCTATGAATTTTATCGATTCCGTTTCTATTTTGTATGTAGTGATCATATCGTCTCTTTTTTTTTTTTTCTTCTATCTTCTAGTTTTGGCATATTTAATGCCTCTACGCTCTGGTCTCACAAAGTGTAGTGTTCCTTTGGTGCACAACTGTCTCACAAATTCAAGAAAGCATTAATATTTTGTGAAATCACTCGGGATTCCCAAAAGTAATTCGATAATCAATCCAGTTTAATACTATAGCTAATAGCTAAAGAAAATCATATGTGACTGACACATTCAAATTGCTGTATAATAATTAGCATCTGTAAATTGTTTTAAAATGTTATAATGACACCTAGGAAGGAGTTTTGTTTGTTGATCAGTGGATTGAAGATTGTATGTAAAGTATTTGTGATTCCTCAGTAACTTAACCTTTAACAGTGCCCCCATATATAATACTTCATTGGGCTTTATTAAATTAATATCATATATTATAAATTGTATTAAGATTGAGTATTTGTGCATGTTCATTTGACATAATAAATACAGTACCAGGAAGTTAACCAGACCACACACTAGAAGGTGAAGGGACGACGACGTTTCAGTCCGTCCTGGACCATTCTCAAGTCGATTGTGTACAATTGACTTGAGAATGGTTCAGAACGGACCGAAACGTCATCGTCCCTTCACCTTCTAGTGTGTGGTCTGATCAACATTCTTCAGCCACGTTATTGTGACTCATTGCCTGCATAGTACAGTACCAGGAACATTTGAATTAATGTAGTAACTGGTTGACCAATATAACAGTACAGTACTCTGCTCTCTATATAATATACTTACTATATTAATTTTTGTTTAAAAATAATGCATATTGTAGATTGTACATAGTCTTATAAAGTTTAAAATTTGTTTTGCACCAGTATTTACTGTGCTTTCTTTATTAGATGTTTAATGTACAAAAATCATTTAGACTTCTAGTTATCCATTTTCCATTTGTTATACTTATTATATATTTTATATCAAGTTTATTATTATTTAGCAAGTTATTTAATATTTTGAGTAATGGGGGTATACTGGAGCAAAATATCTGAAAGGAAATAAAGAATAGAAGCACTGAGGAGTAGAACTTTAGAGGTTCACGTTTGTTCAATACTCTCACAGTAAGCATTAGAAATATAGCTGGCACAAAGGTGGATTTCATCAAGAAGAAATTTGATAAGTACCTGCAAGAAGTGCTGGACCAACTGAGGTTGTACTGGATGTGGGACTGAGGGCTGCTCTAAGCAACATCCTGTTGGACCAAGTTATCACAAGTCAAGCCTGGCCCCAGGCTGGGCTCAGGGAGTAGAACTTCCAAAACCCTCTCCAGGTATACTCCAGATGACTGTGATAAAATATTGTACTATAGTAGAGGTCAAATTGGCAGAACATTAAGTAACAATGAATGCTGGAATCATTGGTATTGGAGTGATTGTATTTAGCATGAATTTTTCTTGTACAATGAATATTCCAAATGTTATCCTGATAACTAAACCTCTGTAGATATATACTGTACAAGTGTATGAATGTTTCTTCTGTATCTTCATTTGTACTTGTATTATATTAAACTTGTTGCACCACTGATACAGTAGTTGCATTATAATAAAACTTGTTGGACCACTCTGATAAATAAAGGATTACTTTAATATAATTATATCCCTATTCTTCATTTGTTTATGGTCTTAGGTATTATATTTTCACTTCAATTATTCTCAAGTTACTCAATTATAAATTTTAAATCCAGTTCTAAATAATGCATTTTTTACCCTTATACTCCAAAGATATGTGAATCTAAAAGCAAATAGCTGCATTGTGAGGAAACCACTGAAATTTTAGGAATAAATATAGAAAGACCAAGACAGAAAATAGACTGAGCTATAATTAAACCTTACCCAGCATAAGTTATTTTCTTTGATAACAGAAATATCAATCATGTATGGCATTTTTAGCTCGCTCAGCTCAGGACAATCTTACAGTCAATATAAGAAATTATAATTTCTTGGAAAATGGTGCAGAAACCATATCACTTCTGAAAAGGTAGAACCAAGTGCAAAAAAAGATGACTTTCTACAATAAACAGTACAGCAATTTACAGAAAGTAATTTTTTGGTAATTCCTTTGCCTTTTAAGCTTAATGTTCTCCTTTACAATGCATATCAACAGTTAAGATTTGTCTTAATTTAATAATTTAAAAAGAAATAAAAGGCTCCGAGTCGACACGGTATATGGCCATGCAAGGTCAAGTAAATTTATTGAGAAAAGGAAGTACATCTCAAAAGGATAAGAGTACCTATTCTATTTTTTACCGTCGTAGATATATATATATATATATATATATATATATATATATATATATATATATATATATATATATATATATATATATATATATATATATATATATATATATATATATGTATGTCCCTCAAGGGGCTCACAAACCCATACAGTATACAATTATTAATCATATTCGACATTTCACATTCCAATGGTAATCTTTATATATTTATTTATTTATTTATATACAAGAAGGTACATTGGGTTTGAGAGATTACATAGCATAGTATTTACAATCTTGTAAAGCCACTAGTACGCGCAGCATTTCGGGCAGATGTCACGGCATACTATGCCATGTATGCTACCTGCAATTAAGTTACACAATATTATACCTAATGGACTTAAATTATGCCAATAAATAAAATATAGTAGTGCTACTGAAAATCAATTTATAAGCAGGAATAATAGATACTTTTTATGGAGTGTATCCTTTAATTTTTAATCACGAAAATAAACACGTGATTAAAAATGTGACAGTGTCAGACCACGGAGGAAAATTGAAACAGGAATTTTCTTAAGTACTTTCGTATATTAATACATCTTCAGAAGGAGTCTCAAGGAAATTCCTGTTTCAATTTTCCTCCGTGGACTGACACTGTCACTTTTTATGGAAGATGGGTATACCATCTTGAGAAATGATAAAAATGTATCTACTAATCTACTATGCGATAATGAAAATCTATCCACCTCTAAATTATAATTCAAGATGTTAAAATGTAGAAATTTTAATACCAAAAACCGCAAGTATTAAAGGATCATTCATCATTATAAGAATGTTAGTGAAGGGCAGCCAGTGACACGCCGCCTTCACACGTGACCAAAATGTCGTCGCTCCTGAATCAACACAACACTTGACCAACGACTTCAGAGTTCTGTAAGTTAATGCCACCACCAACAACAACTTTAGTTCGATATAACGTTTAAGTGTTTCATCAAGTTTAACACAGGCTTAGTGTTTATGAAGGTGAGTGGCGTGATGAGAGTATATATATATATATATATTACAAGTTCAAGTATGTTTATTGAGACAAGAAAAAAATGCATCTCAAAGGGATAGAGTAGCTTAGGCTATTTCTACCCCCTCCCTCTACTTCAAGTCCCTCAAGGGACGCACAAATTCAGTGAGTACAAATACACAAATCACAATACAAGAATACCATTTAACATAGCAGGTCAATATAGTAAGTACAGGATATAAGTGTTACACTTTTGGGGCAAAATTCTTGTAGCTCCTAAATATTCTGTCTATCATACCATTATCACACATCCACTGTATTACAAGTTGTATTACTGAAGTATATAAGTTTAGGAAGAAGGCATCGCCCTGTATTTCTTGGAATGTCAAGCAACCAATGCACGTAGTTAATAAGTCAATATTGACTTATTAAATATGTGCATAGGTGACATACTTAACATAATAGATACCCTTAAAAAGATTCATAGAAAACACCGACCTTACCTAACCTTGTTAGTATCTTAAGATAAGCATCTTATTGCTTCGTAATTACAATTATTACCTAACCTATAATAGGTATAGGTTAAGTAATAATTGTAATTACGAAGCAATAAGATGCTTATCTTAAGATACTAACAAGGTTAGATAAGGTCGGTGTTTTCTATGAATCTTTTTAGGGGTATCTATTATGTTTAGTATATCACCTATGCACGTAGTTAATAAGTCAATATTGACTTTACGAATTTGCGAGAACGGGTTGCGACAGAAGAACTTTAAGAGTTTCCGAATCTTGCAGTAACCATCCTGAAGCCATCAACACTGCCACTTTTCTGGTCGAAAAAGGTGTCCAGCAGATTGATGAAGATTAAGCCACCCAAGAGATGGCTTAGTCCACAAATCCACAAGGGCCGTGACGAGGATTCGAACCTGCGTCAGTAGAACTTCAGTTTCAACCCTTTTACCCTGTCGTAGCTCAGTCGATTAATTAAGGCAGTGTCTGGGATGCTCCCGGGCGCAGGTTCGAATCCTCGTCACGGCCCTTATGGATTTGTTCATTTACTATATTACTCTTATGTTCTGTTATGTTCCAAACAAAATGTTATGAGAAAGAGTTCTGTAGTTGCTGTTCCAAACTACATTCTGTATTTCCATTCTGTTATTAATTTAAATAATATACTTTACTATTGCCACAACTACTGACTCTATATTGTAATAGCCTATGCCTGTCATCCTTAAGTGTCACCTTTTGTGCATTTATTTATTTTCCATGAACGTTCTCATTTTGTTAGCGCATTTGTTCTTTAGTATTAAGTGTTTTACCCCCTTACACTTTGTTCATGTTTTTTTTTTCTATTTTATGTTTGTGCCCGAAACGCTTTGCGTAATAGTGGCTTCATAGATTGTGTAACTCCAGTCCCTATATTTTGTACATTACTCCTGTGTTCTTTGTACACGCATTCTTTTGAATAAAGATTGTATTGTATTGTATTGTATTGTATTGTATTGTATTTAGTCTTTGCTACTCCAGTTGGTGTCGCAGTTCTGACTATAACCATTAGTATAG